ATCTATTAGATATTAGAGATCTTAATTATAACGATTTCTTATTCAGAAATAATTGGAAAAATACAAGACTATGATAGATCAATTTAATGTTGTAATCAAGCAATCGGATGATAATTTAATTACAAAATTATTAGATATTTCGCCAAGAAAGCTTGTCAAATTCAGTAATTGTTTGCTCAATATTCTTATCAATACTTGATAATAAGATATTAAATAATACCCATTCCCTCATTCCTTCTTTTAAATAGAGGTCCTTATTTTAAACTTAATAATGTCAAAAGAAAATCCATTTAATTGATACTGCAAGTAATATGGATATTGAATACTGAAATTATGGTACAAACATCATAAATTTATCTGAAACCCGAAATTATGGGACAAACATCATAAATTTATCTGTAATACCATGGAGTCATTTACTTAAAAACAAAATAGGCAGTATAAATCATAGAAACAAATTCCATCTATTACAAAAGCCTCTAAATTCAAAACCACTATTCTAATAACTGAGAAATTGAAGAAAAAACCTAAGAATAATGGATCCTCATTAACAAAAATCATTGAATATTAACTAACAAAAAATACACCACCAATTATAAATTGATAGTCTATAATATACCTGCTAAATAGGATAACACATTACAAAGAAGCTTTTACATCTTGGAAAAAGTCACATTTATGAGCATCAAAATACAGAAAAAATGGGAGTGAAAATGTAAACAAAAAGACTGGACTGTGGCTTTTGAGATATACCAGTATGATAGTTTCCTGCAAATTGGAAAATTTCAAAGAAAGAAAATATTCCATCTGAAAGCCTAACTACAGCAAATTTGCTTGTTATCTTTAAATTAGCCAAATTCTAAAGGAAAAAAAAATTATTGTGTATTTTACAACATGGAAAATACTTTGTATAGCATTAACTGAAATATATTACTTTTATATAATTTCCCAAATTTGGTTAAATCTAAAATCAAGAAAATTGAGTCTGAATAAAATTCTAGCAAGAAGCAGTCATGACAAGATGACTCAACTCAAAAAGCTAAGTCACTAGAAGATCATATTTGTTACCAGTAGAAAATCAAGTTAAATGTAAAATAGTTAATAAAGATGAAATTATGAAGGACACCATATTAACTGTTTTATACAGGCATATATTAGCTAATGGGATAATTAAGCTATTAAGGCATTCTATACCCAAATGCATTTATCTTTTTTTTATATATGTGTAGAGATATCTCCTTGTTGGAACTTTAGGGTAAGTTAATGCCAGTTTTTCTTCTTTTATTTCTTTTATTTTTTAGTTATTTCTTATTTTCCTCTTTTAATTGATTATATTTCTTATTATTATTATCTAGTATGATATTCTTTGTCGTACCTATTGTAATCAATTGTTTATTGGCCTTAAATACCCTTTTCTTGTGTATCCATATATTGTATTAGATAGCAATATATATATTATAGAAGGTGGCCTACAGCAGATTTATCAAGTAGTGGTGATTGGTTATATGCTAAAATTTAAATATGGCATAAAAATACATCAATTGTAAAAAATTAAAAATTGTTTATTTTTATAGGTGCAAATAGCCAATTTTTTTGTCCATGGTGCACCATTTCAAAAAAAGAAATAGTAAATATTAATGTTAATATCAAAGTAAATGGATAATATAAATACATATAATGGATATACTTTAGAACTATTATTTTACAATGATTCTATTAGAAATTGGGATACTTGATGAACTTCATATTATATTATATATAACAGATAGACTTTGGAATTTAGTATTACAACGAAAATTAAAGTTAAAGAATCTGGCTATTTACTAGAGAAATTATTATTAATAAATGATTTGTAATTCAATTAATATAACGGGACCGTTAACTAAATAAAAATACTATTACAATTACAATCAATCAATTCTGGTGGAATACTGAATAGAATTATTATTTTACAATGATTCTATTAGAAAATTGGATATTTGATGAACTTCGTATTATGTTGTATATAACAGATAGACTTTGGAATTTAGTATTACAAAATTAAACTTAAAGAATCTGGTTATTTACCAGAGAAATTATTATTAATAAATGAATAGGAGATCAGTTGGCATATCATGAACTTGGAGATCTTTAATATTAATTCATTCTTTTATAATTGAAAATATTGGTGGGTTTGTTGAAAATGATTATAATGAAGAATTTCTCATCTTTATTGTAAAATCCACGAAAATTGTCTCTTGATTAAAAATTTATCGATACAATGATATTGGTAATTTTTGAAATTTTGACATACGAATATTGAAAAAAAAATTTTTTTAAGATTTTGATATACATAAAAAAACTCAATTTTTTTCGTTATTTGGTATTTTGATATAGTACATATATTGAGGTAAAAATTTTTTTAAACATTTTTTTTTTCAAAATCGGAATCTAAAACATGTAAATAATAAAAAAAAATTGATTTTGGTATACTGATATTGGGAAAAAGAAATCTCAAATAATCTTTTTTCTGATGTTATCACAGGCTCATTTGGCTATAAATAAATAAATTTGGATGAGACATGTTTTGATTTTTTTTGTTAAAAAATTATTTTATATAATGTCAGCTAAAACCAGATTTGGAACTAAGATTTAATTAAAATTATAGTAATCAGCTACTTTATATTCATTACTTTCGAACTACGTAACTGAACTTCATACAATATAGGCTAATTAGAAAATTTTATACACAAAAATATATAAATTTTACATCTTAATAAATAAATAAACAGTTAAACATCTAATAGTGCTATTCATTTGTCTTGTTTTAATGTTTGCAATAAAATAAAAAGACAATTTTTTATATACGAAGCAATATGATAGTATATGATTTTGGATCATGGAATTTACTAACCAAAAGATCTAAATTTGTAAAAAAAATTGAAGATTAAAATGGGTTTGATTTCCAAAGCAGGTAATTCCCTAAAAAGACCTGTTACCTGCTGCACCTGCTGGTCCTGCAGTTAAAAATAAGCCGCACCTGCTGCATTCTGGAGCCTCAGGCATCTAAAACAGACGTGATCTGCTGCAACACTTTTGTCAAGTACGGCTTGCCATAAATTAGATGAATCTTCAAAACAGATTCATTTTCTAAAAATAAATGAACAAGTTGTTAATAATATTTAAAAAATTCCATCTTCTATTTACTACCAGTCTAACATTACAGAAAGACTACATTCCTAAAAGTAATGTTTTATTAACATCCCTACTATACATTACCTTTAAAAGATATTATCAAGTTTCTAGGAAAAGCCTACTAAGCTTGCCGCAATTCTGGAAGAAACCTAGAAAAAAAGCAAGTAAATTTAATAAAATTAAAAATAAAATAGATTAAAAAACTCACTTTTTACATTTCTAAAAGTCCGCCTACCTGTTCTGAAAAAACAACTACCAAAACATAATGTTTGATGGTTTTGTTATTTTATCCTTTTTAAAAGAATATGTTAACTTAAGCTGCAGTGATAGGATGAACAATACCGTATAGATACGTTAAAAGACCAATAACAAGTCCTGGTAACGTACTCAAATACACTATACTTTAAATTGCCATATAATCTTGCAAAGAAACCTTTATTATGGTATTAATTCTTAGAAAATTTTAAAGAACTTTTCATTTCCATAAATATCCTTTACAAAAAATTTCAATGAAACATACCTAATAAATTAACAAATCAATCAATCATCATCATCACTTTAGCAGCTTCCTCGAATAGTAATAAGTTATTCCTTACCACGAACCCATCTAATACTTTTCAAATATAAACTAGAAAAAGAGAAAGGAAAAATGTAATATAATTAGAATCATTTTTAAATATTAAAAATCAATTTATTACTATCAATTATCCGATTTACCTTTTACAAATGTTAGATTGACATTTTGACTAAGAATTTTTGCAAAAAATTTATTTATTAAAAATTTTTTTATGATTGTGCCCAATTTTTATTAATGACTTTTCATATGTTTGCTATAAGAAAGGATAACTTAGCTTTTCAAACAACAATAAAGTAGCTATACTAAAAATATTACGGCATTTACTTACAAAAATTCTTAGTTAACCAGACCTAAAAGTGATGGAGAAGTTGTTAGAGCGTAACAATATTTATAATCAAGTGATTAAACGTCATATGATTATTGTAATACAATGTAAAATTGGATTTGTAAAACGTTAGATTGGCAGTCCTTGTTATCTATAAATGGAATAGTACATTACCCGATCATCATATATGATCATATATGTCAAGACTAGGGAATAAACTACTCTAAATTTATCCTAATTAAATAATTTAAATATTTTTTTTTTTTAAAAAAAACTTTTCTTCAAAAAATATTCCCCCTTTTTCTTTCTTTGTTTGCAATATGGCATGCTCAAAAGTAATGTTAGGAGATTTTCCCGAATTAACATATGATATTATACAATACTTTCGGAATGACATTCCAACATTACATTCGTGTATTTTAGTTAATAGATTTTGGTGTCAAATTGTAATTCCATTATTGTGGAAAGACCCGTTTTCAATGAAAAATCCTAAAAATTTTCACTTTATTGAACTTTACTTACAAAAAATAAGCGAGAAAGATAAAACACAATTAAATAGATGTGGAATTAATAATAATGTATTTCCTTCAAACACATTATTTAATTATTCTAATTTTATTAAATGTATAAATACACAAAACATGTGCTCCACTATTGTAAATTGGGTTGAAACTAACATGACGTTTGCCTGTTCAAAGGGACGTATTTTTTTATTATTAATTAAAGTATTTATTGAAAATAAAGCTAAATTAAATACTTTTGAAATCGAAATTGCATATAATTATCATATAAGCAGAAAATATTTTAATTCTGCTTTTAAATTAATTTTACAAAATCCAAAATTCATTAATAATATAAAAAATTTAAACCTTTATTTTAATGAAGAAATTTTAAAACATAAATTAGATTATAAATTTTTAAAATGTTTTTATTATAATTGCAATTTAATTTCATTACTTCATATTAGATTTTCAAAATATGAAAGTTTTAGTCATAATCATATGACAATTGAAAACCAATTATCAAAGATTATTAATTCACAAAAAAATCTTAAAAAAATTGTTTTTGCACATAGTAAATATATATATGGTGCTTATATTTTAGATACTAGTATACCATTATATAATATCATAGGTGGTTCTAATAATACAAAACCTTTAAAGATAATTATATTTCATAAAATTGATTTTAGGAATATATTACGTATAAAAGAGGCATTTGAACAATTAAGTGTTTTAGAATCCATTCATATACTTGATTGTCTTATTTTTAATTCTAATTTTATTCAACAAATCATTGATCTTAACAAACCATTTAAATTAAGATCTTTGTTTGTAAGGAATGAATATGTTTTCAGATCAGAGGATGAAGATAAAAATTTACAAATTGAATCAATACAATTGTTATTTCAAAAATTTGGGGATTATTTAGAAAATATTGGATTCGAGTCAATTGTAAACTGTGAATTAAAATACAGGGTATTAGAAATTATTAATAATTATTGTAAAAGAATTAAATTTTTTGATATATATACATCTAGTATTCAGAAAGCTCATATTGTATTGGATTCAGTCAAAATTTTCGGACAAAACCTTAATTATCTTTCCATATCTGCTTTTATTTTGTATAGTAAAGATGATGAGTCTATGATAGAATTATTTTTAAGATTAGCACATGTTCTTCCTTGTAAATTAGAATATTTGAATTTAAGTTGTAGTACTGAGATTACAAAAAGTGTTTGGGAAGTATTTTTAAAAAATTTAAAAAATATTTTCATTAAGAAATTTTTATTCAAAATTAGTATATTAGTTGATGATATTTTACCATATGTAAAGGAATATATTATAAAAGAAAATATTGCTGAATATTTAGCTATTAGAGGATATATAGAAATCCAAGTAAGTGAAAATAATGTACATCGGTGTAGAAAAGATTTGTTTAATATGACAGGTGAATTGAAGGAATTTGAATCATATAATATTAAAGTTAAAGAATATAATGATTTATATATTAAAGCCCATGAATTTATAGATGAGATGTATTAGTAATTAGGGATGTGTACTGTATATTCATAATTTAAGTTTTTTTTTTATCATTTTTCCTTTCATTTTCATTATAATTGTTATATCTATTAAGGGAATTATTATGTATTATTTATATTGTATTCAAATTTTATAACAAAATAAAATATTATTGGATTTAAAAAAAAAAAATTCATCGTAAATAAATGCATTATTAAAGTATTTGGATGTGAACTAACCTCAAACCCTAATGAAACTATTAAATAACTAAATTTTTGACTGTTTTTTAATTGTTTTGTCGTTGCAAATAAACATCAAACTGCTATAGATCCTAACCGCCTAACCTCAACTAATAAATTATGGTCATAAAATATATCATATAAATAGGTAGAGATATGAATAAAAATTCTATAGATTATTTAGGAAAAATTTTATTATTTTGAAAGGAAATGTTAGCAATAAATCTACCATTGAAGTAATAATTCGCCAATAATAGGTTTAATTTAAAAAAAAATTGATAATTTTAATTTGTTATTATTACACAGCTCTATAGAACCATCATGGCGGATTTATGAAATACCCCAAAATTTGTCCGTCATGTCAAATTAAATAAATATTTGACAGCATTTTAGTCACCAAATTTCTATTTAAGACACGAATTTATTAGTGAACAGTCAAAAATGAACTCTAAAAAATTTTTTTTGTACCCAAATCTTGCGTCTAACTAATTTTCCTATTATCTAACCAATTTTTCCAGTGTTAAAGGGGCATTATTGCGTATAATTATACACTAAATTTGTGAAATACATGATTTTATATTACATGGTGTAAAACTAATTAGTTATATTAATTTGATATTAAATAAAATAAGTTTAATTAATATGTGGTCATTCTGGTCCAGATAATAACGGGCGTGCTTACTGCTTATGATGTGGCGCAAAGCGTCACATCATACCATTAAGCACGCCTGTACAATTAATTTTAATCACCATAAAATCAACAGTTAATAATATTTTCAAATCTTATATTTTACTTTATAATTAGCTTTCGTACGTAACTTGAATAAAATTCTAAAATTGATTTTTAAAAATTTGCTATGCCACTTTCGAAAAAAAATGACAATCATAAAAATTTAAACTAATAAGTTAATTTACGATTAATTTTGTTTCTATTTTTATTTTTAATAACATATCCTGAGCCCACAATTTTTATTTACTATATATTGCATAACATTTTAATTGTTGCTGATAAATAACATTTTTAAATAAGACCCAGTTTTAAAACTAATTTAATAAAATAACTCATTGGTATTTATAAAAATATTTAAAATTAATTGAATTTTTCTAACTATCACCGGGGTGATGATCACCGATGACTGAAATTATGACGATCGACCAGCATTAAAAAATATAGTGCGGTAAAAATTGATAATTCCGGCCAACGGTAATGATCACCCCCAGTGATTTGAAGTAAAAAACTGAATTAATAATAATTTTATTTATTCAAAAAAATAAATATATTATTAATAATTTATACCATTTATTATTTATTTATTGAAAAAAACTTTTAATATATTTAATGATGTATGATATATCTACAAGATTTATTTTTTAAAGGATGGCCTTTCTTTTTAAATAAAAAAATTGGTACATCCAAGATCAGCTCCAATTTTTTCTTTTTTGGAGATTGACTGCCTTTTTTTGATTTTTTAGGTGTGTTCTCCTTCTTGTTCTCAGTTTTATCCATATTCATTTTTCTTTCATTCTTTTCCTTTCTTATCTGGCCAATGGTGTGATTTAACTGCTCTACTATTTGTTCCTTACTCTTTATTTATTTTATTTTATTTCTAAAAGAGTAGTAGATCTAATACTATTACAAATAAAAGTAGATAGCATTTTCATGCAAAATAACTAATATGCATGCAGAACTTCATCCCTTTGGGACCTCACTCTTCAGTCAAAACTATTCGAATAAATAGGACTACACTAAATAATCAAATGAGTACCACAAAAAGAATAATAAAAACTCACTAAAGAAAAGCTAAAAGATCTAAAAAGAAAAAAATAAAATTAGTTCTAAAAATCAAAAGTTAAAAAGAATGAAGAGATTATATAGTATTGTAATAAAATGAGTTGTGGTCAAAAGTGATGGAATCAATATAAGTTAGATATAAAGAATTAATCCAAGGTAAGTTATGGTGAAAGTTGGAGCTTATAAGATATATCCAATATACAGAATCATCTAAATTGCATGTTGATGTCATGAAGGGATTATTGTACCCTAAATGTAAAATATTATCATTATTAGGGTTATAAGGTGAAATATCTTCCTCATTATTTTTATGTCATTTACATCATTGTTTAGGTTATTTGATAAATGATTTCTTGCTGATATTGTGATCTTATTTATATTTTTTTCCACTTGAATGAGTAAGCCTTTTATAATAAATTGTAAATGTCATAATGAAGATCATATAAAAATTTTAGAAGTAATTTCTTGATTAATTTATGTATTTTAGCATCTTTGAAAGGTGTGATAATCAAAGATGGAACCATGTTGACAAGGAGACAATGTAAATCTGGAGCTTCATTAATTGAAGAAAGAGGTGAATTAAAGCAAAAAAAAATTACATTTGTCACGATTAATATTATTAATAATTAACACTCGATAAATTAGTTTATGTTTCTTGAATATCTTTAAGAATGAAAATTGATTTAGAGCAAGTCCAAAAATATTCATTAGTTTCTGGTTCATTTGTGCATAAGAAGTAAGTATCAAATCTGTTCAATATGTTTGAGTAATTTCTATTAAGTGTATCTAATGTCAGAACTCAGAAGTGTGTAATTAGAATTTTTAATATGTCATCCCATATGTTTACTATAAGACTGACTTGTTACTATACTTTTTTGTAAAATGATAAAATACAAATTAAATTTATTTTGACAGATGTAATGTATTTTGACAGATGTAATTAATTCATAATAATTTTATAATAAATAATAATTGGTCTGTTCACTGAAATACAACATAATTAATTAGCAGAGAAGTATACTTATCACCTTATGAAAGGGATTGTAGTTGATCCATAATTGTGTATATTTCCAATCAATTAGATGTGTGATCATAAATTTTTTTGGAGTCATCTTGTGATGTGATAATGAATTAAATGTATCTATAGCACATTGACTATCTGTGTAAATCATGACATTGCTATTAAGCGGACAGGTTATAAGACACGTTAAAATGGCAAAGGCTTCAGCTTTAGTAGAACTAACCCAATCTATAGTCATCCCAGAGAATTTAATATCTAAGTTGATATCTGAAAAGATCCAGCCAAAACCCATTTTGGAAGAAATTAAAGAACTATCTGTATAAAATTCTAAATTATTAAAAGAAGAAAGTATAATTATTAAAGAAAAAAAAGAATTATAAATTGAATTAGGTAATAAAATTGTTTTAACTAGTCTACAATTAATGTTAGATATTCTATCAACTTCATTAGATATTATATTAGTATCCAAGATCTCTTATCTGATGTGTGGGTTATTTTGCATATTATAATCTTTGAATACATCTGCACATAAAACACTATGCGGTTTTTGTACTATAAAAATGTTGTTAAAGCAATTATTATTTTTCTTATAAAGGTTGATGTTGTAACCCTTGAAACTAGGACAATTATGTGATTAGAAGAATAATTATCTGAAGGACAAATAATATACTAAATGAAACATGAATAAATAATTAGCTGAAGGATAAATATTTAACCAATAGAAGAATATTTAACCAATATAATTAAAGAATATAATGTTATAGTTATACTTATTTATAGTTAGTTATTATATTTAGATTAGTTATATTTATAGTTTAGTTATTATTAGTTTAGTTATAAATAATTTATCATTGTATTAATAAAACCATTGAAATGATTATATCAATGAGAATTCATTGTGTAAATAAGAAATAATTGTTACTCAATGATGGGCATAATCAAATGGAACTAGATGGAAGGATTATATTATATTAGATATAATGAGTTATAATATTAGAATCTTATAGAAAATTGTAGAATATTATAGTTTAAAATGTATAAAAGGTTGGCTTTTGACTTTTGTCAACAGCTTTTGGGCTCAAGAATATTAAGTTATTAATAAAGAGTTATCATTGTAGTTTTACTGTGATTCAATTATTAAAAAGTTATTAATTAATATAAAATTATAAGTCTAGCTAGTATATTAAATATAGGAGAACTCTCCAAGTTTGAAAATTAAATTTTAAGATTATAAATGAAATAAAATGTTAAAAATCTAAACCAAGCATAATAAAGTGAAAGTAATGTTATAAAGAGAATTATGTGTTTATCTGTGGATGGCAGACTTGGATGACAATGTGTATAGTAATAGTAAAATTTGAAAGGTAACTGATGATACAACGTGGATGAGTATCTCCAATATAAAATGAATCATATAAGTCACAACCAGGACAAGGTACAATATAATTAGGTTGAGAAAGAGGAGTAGTATTAGAGTTTAATAAAGTTGAATAGAATTAATTCCCTCTTTAAATTCTTGTATAGTTGTTTGGTGAGCAATTAGAAGTGGATTATTATCAGTTTCACTAATATCATTAGTCCAAAGGTGATTTTGGGAAGTTAATATTAAAAATTGTATAAAATGAGATGTAATAGGGTTATTGATTTGTGTGTTCAACAGTGAGGCTTGCATCCACAACTGTGAATCCCAAATGTTTAAAATATAAGGATATATAGGATTATGAATTACTGAGTTAAAAAGAGATTTAGGAAGTGAAAGTGAATATCTGTAAATTAAACGAATAATTCTATTAAATTCATTACATATGTTGGGAGTAATAAAAATATGTTGTGTTAAATATTCGATTCTTGTATTGCTATTGTATCTAGATCTCCTATGCAGTTCGTAATTCAAATCCTTTTTTGTTTTTGAATCGAACAAAAGTTTCAATTTTTCATTTCCATTAGCTTGATAGATTAAATTTTTACTTAAATTCTCAATCTGTAAGTCGTATTACTTGTATATCATCTTTAAGCCATATTTTCTTTCTCATATATAATCACATTAGGAGTTTTATGGCTAAGTCTGCTCTTCTTTTAACTAATCCATTTATTCTTTCTATTATAAATTCACATTCTGGTTTTACTAAAAATATTGCCTGTAATTGATATTTGATATGTGGTATAATCACCATATTCCAAGTTGCTATAATTTGTTTTTCATTCAATTTTTTCCAATTAAAAATTTGACATGCCTTATCTACAATCGATTTAATCTTTTTCTTGCATATTTTCCTTCTATTATCATGTCTAAAAAAACCCTAAATATCTATTTCCTTCACAACTATTAACTTTTTTAACTTCTTCACCTTCAATTACTAAATTATCTTGGTTATTACTAATTTTAATTAGTTCATACTTTCCAATATTCGCTTTGATATTATAAATTTTAAAAAATTTGTGATATATCTTTTATCATTTTTTCCAAACCTTCTTTATTTTTACTTATTAAAGTTGTATCATCCATAAAAGCTGTCATGTTAAAATTTAATTCCAATTTTTCTTTCTCTCTTTTATTGATATTTATTATTTTATTTTCTTCTATCTTGTATCTTACTTTATCTTTAATTTGTTCTAGTCTTGTTAATAATGCATCATAGAAAATTCTCCAAAGAATTGTGAATCAAACTTCCCCTTGGTCTATTCCATCTTGAACATAGTATTCCTCAGTCATGTATTATTAACAATAAATCAATAATTTTGTTAAATCTATTTAAGTTTATATCATTAGTTACTAAATTAATAAATTGTTCAAGTAATCTAATTCTTCTAAGACTTTACTCAAACATAGTTGTACTGACTGAATCAAAAGCCTTCAATATATCCATTAGTAAAATCCATGCTTCTTTTTTCTTCTTGTTTACATTTTCTATTATTCCTTATTTTATCTTTGAAGGTATAAAAGTACTTTCATTTTTCAATGCTGCATAATTTGTATCCATTAGAACCTTTTCTTTTGATAGTATGTCACTCAGTCTTCTTACTAAGATTTTCAAAAATATCTTTATGGCTATTTCTATTAATGTGATAGCACTTGTTAAATTTAAATCTTGATTCCAGAACGATCATGTTATTGGATATACCATTCCTTTTTTTCAATCTTCTAAAACTTTTTCTTTTTTCATACTTTCATTAATTATTTCTAGAAGTAATATTCTCATTAAACTCTTACTATGTTTCCAAAAATCATATGTTATTCCACTTAAACCTGGTGCTTTATTCTTTTTTGTTGTTCTTATCACTTCTTCTAATTCTTCCATTGTTATCTCGTTCATTAAATTATTATAATACAAAATTATTATATTATATTTAATAAATCTTTCTTAGGATTAAAAATGGCAGATGGAAGTTGTAAATGTAAATAAAAATATATAGAAAGATATTATTGCTTAATAAATTTTAATAACTCTACTAATAAAATTTATGGTACTTTGCATTTTGGAGGGTTTCAGTTGTTGTTGAAAAGTAGGAAAGTTCATTACAGTCTGATTAAAGGCCAGATTCTAATATATGGATGAACTGGGCTGAGGGCTCAGTTTAAAGACTAAAACTAGAATTTAAATTATAATTTACTCCTGATATTAATTTTAATATTTGCTAATACTAAATTACAGTAACTTTATAAATTTATTAGTCACAATAACTAGAAGAATGCTAATAGTATTATAAATTCTCACAAAAGTCACATTATTTTATGAATAAAAAAAATGTTTTAAAGTAAAATGTATTTATATTTCATATGATATAGCATAATCTACTAATTAGATTATAATATTATAAAGACCAAACTGGAATTGTCTGAGTTAAATCCCAAAACTAAGACCAGGTCCTGCCAAGACTCAGTCCTTAAGTCCTGGACCTGAACTTTTTTATACTCTAAAAATATGCCATTTAATTTTTAAGAAAGTTGGTTGAGCAGAAATGATATTTCATTTTTAGTAACTTTATTCCAACTAAATTATGTCTAATCTTCATATTTCTAAATAAATAATAATGGAAGTCCTAATTCAGAAACAATGTAATTTCTATATTTCTAAATAAATAATAATGGAAGTCCTAATTCAAAAACAATGTAATTTCTAGTCTATTAGTCTTTTCTTATTTATTTGACAGAAAATTATAAATAATATGAATAATTTTGTCCACACTGAATAACTTTTTCTCTAGTAGAAAATTAGATTGTGAATTTTCTAAAAAGAATTCTATTATAATAAATCTATAAATACTAAAAAGTTCATATAGATTTAATCTGGCTGATATATACCTTTGTCAGTCAATACAGATAGAATTAAATTTTAATTGTTATATCACATTATACTATATTTAGGATAAAAAAATTATTTATTATTAATTAGATCTTCTTCATATATACTAGCCAAACATCCATTCTGATTAGTTATTATCTATACATTGTAATAATGAGAATCTTCTATGATCATTTTGAAATACTGAAGATCTTTCTGTTTTAATTGGTTTTGTTTTTGTGTTAATTATAATATGATAACATTATTTAATTAATAATATATATCCGAATTTTTTTAAAAAATTTAAGTGAATAGAAAATTTATTGCTTATTTTCAAAGAGTCCTTCCTTACTGCTAAAGGTATATTAGAGAGCCATATAAATTTTTTTCTTATAACTTTCTATTTTTTAATATTAATAATTATCACTGGTTGATTGATTCTATCTCAGATTGATTTCCATTTGGAACTTTGCAGATCTTCTATATTATTGTCTGGATTTTAAATATAAAGTTGCTTTTTGCTTAAAAATGCATAAATAAATAATCAATGTGGTTAAGAAATTTTTTTTTGACTCTTATAATGGCAACTTCATAGGTTGATCATCAAGAATATAAGGTAAGTTATATTATATACTCCCTTTAAAAATAGTATCTGTTCTTAAAGTTTATTGCCTAGAGCCTAACTCTATATCCTAGCATAAATACCTTTTAAGTATATATAATCTATATTAAACCTCTTTATATTTTATTTATAAAGTTGTAAGAAACTGTTAGAGTTTAAGAAATAGGATTAAGGATTTAATATTATATATTTCTATACTTTAAAATGTTCAAAAAATGTTTAAATAGCTTATTGCTAGGATGAGTATACTAAGAATGAAAAACTCTGGACAGGTATATATATAAATAATGGAATTTAAAATGTAATAATTGGAGAATAAATAAAATATATATTTTATAGATATTTGTTTCTATCTGGTTGTAACTTGTAACTTTTAAAGTTAAAGTTTGCTTAATAACTGGATATTAGAGTTCTAAGAATGAAAAACTCTAGATAGGTATATTATGAATAATAAACTTTCAAAAATTTGTTCTATAAAAATTAAAAACAATAAAGTATTATATTTTAAGTGTATATAGTGGTAATGCAGTTTTGAAAATAGTACTTTTTGAAATATGAACTATCCTAATGTTGGCTACCTGGTTAAAGAACTGTTGTGAAGTATAAGGTTTGACCATTTTATTAATTGGAGCTGTTAGTTAAGCTTACTTATTATTTGGAGCTTATTAGGCTTATACCTTTATTATTGGGATTAGGAAACAACAAAATTATTTTGGTATAACTTAATTGTTTTAATTGGGCTGAATTGGGCTTACTTATTAGTTAAGGCTTATTAGACTTATAAGCTTAAAAAAAAAATAGTTAGCTTAATTGGGATTACTTATTAGTTGACTTATTAGACTTATATTATAACCTTTATTATTGGGCTTAAAAAAAAAACAAAATTATTTTGGTATAACTTAATTGTTTTAATTGGGCTGAATTGGGCTTACTTATTAGTTGAGGCTTATTAGACACCTTTACTATTGGGCTTAGAAAAAACAAAAATTGTTTTGGTAAACAGTAGTTTTTCACATGTAAATGCAGTTATACAAGATATCAATTTAGTTTTTAATTTTCCACATACAGTGGCTTCCAAAAAAAATGCACCAAAATTTTTTTAAAACTGTTAATTGCTCTTCTTATTAAATCAATTTTAATCCAATCAAAATAAAATATAAAACATAAATAATATATTATATAATTTACCAAAAAACATAAATTTTAATATAAATTTACTAATTAGTTTTTTTAAATACATAACATTAAATCAAAAAAAAACTTGGAAAAAACCAATATTTTTTAGTAATAAATCAATTAATTTGTTTGATAAATATAATTTAAAAATTACTATAGATTTTACAATTTTTTAGTATAAAGTTTTTTTTAAACACCATTAGATTAAAGGTTTTTACAGTGCAATTGAATAACATTAGGCAGAATTTTAAATTTTGTATACATTATTTATTTTATTAATTTTATTATATTTTTTTTATTATTTATTAAATAAATTAACCATTAAAATTTTATGATTTTTTTTTAAAAACTTAGCCAAAATTATATATATTATCTTACCAAAGTATAAATGTTAAAAAATAATATAGTTTAGACAAAAGTAGAGGAATTTGTACTCGCATGATGAAGAAAAATATAAATATAACTTAGTATTTAAATTAACATTTCTTTGTAAATTAATTACTGTAATACATATGTTTTGTTAAATAAAATATGATAAATTGGCACTCTTTTGTTCAAAAAAAAAAGCAATTAATCTTATCTTATTTGTACTAATTTTTAATACAAAAATCGGAAATCAAAAACCAGAAAAGTGAATAAAAGATATCTTTTTAAGATTCTGAGTTTTTTTAATAATATCTGTGTTATTTATCAAGTAATTGTAAAAGAGGAGTGAAATTTCTAATAATGACAAAAATAAAAGCATAACGTTTTTGTTATTAAAATAGGCTGAAAGATATACAGTAATAATTTAACACTATAATAAAGGTAAAGGCCTTTTCATATGAAAAGCCGAGTTAAAAGTTATAATTAAAATAATTAAAATGACATAACTACGGGCGGATATTATAGAGTTATTAGGCACAGAGTATTCAATATGAAGATGGGTGTTACTGTCATTGTGCCACACAGTGTCACATGACATCAATCATTCATCTAACGAAAAAATTACATCCCTGGTAGCCTTGCATTTATTGCTAATTTTTATACTTAAATTGGCTTTTGTCAAAATAAATCTCAATAATAATGAATTCTATGCATAATGGGTGATACTAAAAATTGCGTGTCTGCGGGATTCATAAAATAATAAATACGTAAATAAAATCATTAGGAGTTAATTATATACAATTTTTTAAATTTAAACAAACTAAAAATTCGGGTTAGAAAAAAGTTGAAAGAAAATATTTTATGCTAATGTATATTGCGAGATCTTTTAAAACCTACATTAACGGATATCCAATGGATATACGGAAAAAGTGTACATAAAAATTTAGTTGATTTTCAAATAGTACTCATATACAACATTTTTCTTACTAAGACAAATATTAATAAACAAAATTAGTGACTTTATACTAGTTTTATACTCGATTCCTCGATTTTTGGTACAAGAACGAACAATAAAAATTTTTCATAAAATAATTAAGTCATATTTTAAAAAAAAAATTCTTTATTTTTTTTTTAAATTGTAACGAAAAATTCTTTATTGTTTTGTTTTTTTCCTTAAAAGTAACGAAAAAATTCTTTATTGTAAACTTAATTTCTCGGTTACTCAATTTTAACTCACGTGATTAAGAATTCATTTGGATCGATTTTGCGTAAATTTTGTAATCTTCCGTACGACTTAAAAATTTCAGCCAAATAATTTTCATTATTTTATTTACATACTAGTTTACATATTTATTATTTTATGCATCACCCGCACAAAATAAAAATTCCTCTTTTGGATGTGAAAAATTTTTTTTCATTATATACAATTCTTTAAAAAGAAGTTGATAGAAAGTATTTTATATAATGGTTGAATAAAGTATATTGTTAAATTTATGCGAACCTACGCCAACGGAATTATCGGAAAAAAACGACATAAAAATTTAGTTAGCCTCGAATACTACCCATAAATAATATTTTTCTTTTTTTTTTTGACAAATAATAATAAACAAAATTAGTGACTTGTACCAAAATCGAGAAATACAACGAGTATAATTTATTTTATACAACTATTAATGTTTTTTTTAAAATTTTTTCATAAAATAAATTATTTTCCCTTTACTCAATTTTAATTTACCTGATTAAGAATTCAGACTGCTGTTTACGTAAATTTTGTGAAACTCATCACTCCGGAATTTAATAGTCCTTTTTTCCATTTATCATATCATGTTTAAAATTGTATTTTAAATTTTATCAACAGTATTATGGCTACTATTCGACATGAAATAGTTTTTGCTGCATTTCATAGAGCAAATGCATTAGTAGACCCTAATATTCAAAATAATTTAGAAAAACGACATGTATTTAGAATACAAACAGTTCTTGCTGACAAATCTCTTACCAAGGATGAAAAATCATATGCAGTAAAAGAATTAAATAAAAATTTTGATTCTCTTAAAATTATTTATAATGAAGGAACAAAAAGAATTTGTGAAAATTGTCATGATGAATGTTTAGCTACATTATATTGTGAACATTGTATTCGAAATTATTTAAAAGAAAATTTTTCAAACTGGACATCTGGAAATAATGATATTGATAATTTAATACAACAATGTCAAATAAAAGCACTTAAACCAGATATGATAGTAGAATGGATTCCTTATAATAAATTACAAGATATTAAATACTTAACTAAAGGTGGATGTTCTGAAATTTATACAGCAGTTTGGATTGATGGAAGTTATTTTGAATGGGATTTTAAAAAAAAACAATTAAAAAGATTTGAATGGCAAGAAGTAATACTCAAAAGATTAGAAAATGTTGAAAGTGCCAATAAAAGTTGGTTTGAGGAGGTATATACAAGTAATTAAAAATATTTGAAATTTTTTTTAAAATTTAATTGCAATTTTTTTAATTTTTGTAGGGTATATCTCATCTACACATAAGTAGCAAAACTACCCTCATAGTGCAATGTTATGGTTTAACTCAAAATCCATTTAATGGAAATTATATGATTGTAATGAATCGTATGAATGAAAATCTAAGAGAATATTTGCAACAAAATCACAATAAACTTACATGGAAAGAAAGAATTCAAATTATTGATAGTATAATTAGCGCAGTTTATGATATTCACGGAGAGAGTTCAATCCACAGAGATTTACATTCTGGAAATATATTATTTTATCAAAATGATCAAAGATTTTACATCAGTGATCTTGGATTTTGTGGACCAGCTAATAAACCATTAGATAGTATATATGGAAATCTTCCATACATAGCACCTGAGGTCATTGTTAATAAGAAATATACTTTTGCATCTGATATTTATAGTATTGGCATACTTATGTGGGAAATCTCATCCGGACAACCACCTTTTATTAATAAACATGATTATGATCTTGCAATAAGAATAATAAATGGAATGAGACCAAAAACAATACCCGACACTCCTTTAGAATATAAAGAATTAATGGAACAATGTTGGGATGCTAATCCTACGAAAAGACCTGATATGTCCACTCTTTTTAATAAAATTTCAGATCTTCTTAGATTATATCTTCAAAATGAAAATGAACAAAGAATAATTAGTAAAGTTACGAGTATTAATAATCCTCAATTAGATACAAGATTTAATGTAAATTCTAGTTCTACTAATAGTTCCTTTTTTGAAAATTTTAGTGCAAGTTCTAGTAATTGGAATATTAGTAGTAAAGTTTATAATTTTGAAAATTTACCTGAACCAAAAAATGCAACAAAAGGTAAGAATTTTTTATTGTACAGTTTTACTTTTTACAATATAATATTAATTATTCATTTTATTTAATAGAAGAACAAGATGGTAATTATTAAAATATATTTAACTTATTAATATTGTTATTAATTTTACTATGTTAACTTTATTTTTATAGCTTATCATAGTATACAATTTAATTTTGATTTACAAGATGGTTTGATTATTGGTAAGATTAGCAATTAATATATTTTTGTTAAAATTTTCGATCTATAATTCTAATTTATATCCGTTTATTTTTATAAATAAAGTAGAAGAGCAATCTAATAAAAGAAGTTATTTTGATGGTAATAGATAGTTTTTTTATAATAATTTATACAATGCTGTAAATCAAATAATCAATTTTCTTATTTATTACTATAAAATAGATGATGAAAAAGATTTCGCTTATAACTCTAATAAAAAAGTCAATTCAAATAATAATGAAGGTAATTATTACTGAAATTTTCATATTTTATTTTTATTATTATTAATATAATTAATATTAAATTTTAGAAATACAATATCATGAAATTGGATACCAATATACGCAAATAAATTATGCTACGAGTAAGATGGATCTTAACTATTTATTAAATTAGAGCGTTATCATTATTATTTTTGTATTATTGTATTTAGAATTATTTAAACACTAAGACTAGAGTAGCAATATTTGCAAATTTTCTTAGTTTGTAATTTAAATAGTTCATTTTATTTATTTTTGACTAGTATACAATATATAGAATATGAATAAATTTATAATTTGAGCAGTATTATACTAATATATAGATTTTTGCCATATTATTGAAATTAATCTGATTTTATTATAATATGATCAAAACCAATTACTGTATATACCAATATACTGATATTTTAGTTAACTAATGTCCAAATCTTAAATTACACGAAAAATTACCAAATACTAAAAAAATAAAAAAATAATGGTTTATTTACCATACGAATATTTAGTTCAAAGGAAATTTTAATTGGATATAAAGCATTATAGAGTATTGTAGATTATGTAATGCAATAACAATTTCTGTCTATAAAAGTATAATACTATTTACAGTCTTGTAATAATCTACGTATATTAATTTGCAAGTTAGATGTTAGATGATATAATAGAATTTCATTATTTCTAATATTAACTTATTTAAGTTTAGTTTATAATTCAGTCCAAATATTAATAATTCATTAATTTCTATAATAAAATATTTATTGAGAATATAATTATCGACAAGTAGTATTTTTATGCATTAAAATTGTATTAAAAATTTGAAGATGTTGTAAATATAAATATAAATGAATATAAGAAATACGTTTGAAAGAGTTACAATAATTTAAAAAAATAAATAAATAAATATAAAAAGTCTGCGCCCGCGTATTTCATTAACTATTGTCTGTTAACAAACTATTTATTTTATTATTATTAGTGTTAAATTATCAGAGCAAATTAATTATTGTCTGGAATATGAATACTTATAGATTTTTAGTGATTATCAGATTTTTTGTTATTGGTCAAAATTACAGAAAAAATAGCATTTAATATTATAATTAACCTTTTTATACAATTTTTAAGAATAAAAACTCGATAGACTTAGTTTCCGCAGAAAATAAATTATAAACTATCTATAATTGAAGAATTCAAATAAATCAATTATTACTAATAACTTACAGAAATCTTAAAATTTTAAATGATATCATTTTAATGTTATTTTAACATTAATATAATATTGCTATAATTCGGATATTTATGATTCAGTTCTTATTTAAAAAAAATTATGAAATAGACTCTATTAAAATAATTACTAAATGGATCCTATTAAATTGACACACTCTATTATAAAAATAATATCAAATGTACTTTTAAAAATTATCAAATTCACAAGTATTGTGCGTAAAATTAATATGGTATTAGTAGGTTCAGGTCTTAGTAAACTTATAATAGTACTGATAATAAAAGACTATCCTAACAACTTATACTGTATGTCCTAAACAATTAAAGTATTATTTATTATATAAATTTCTCAGAAAAATTTAATAAATTACACTATTTTCATACAGTATAATAGGAATAGTAAAATATTAATAAAGGTAATAAACCTATTCAGAAAAGGACAAACATATTCACCTTTCATTAAACTGTTATAAAAGTAATTTTATGTTTTAAAGCTGTAAAGCGTTCCATAATATATTTTAGTGCCAATAAGATATTTTTGTTAATAAAAATGAGAAATATTTTTAATCAATATGTTTTTAAATCTTATTTAAAGTTAATTAATGCTTTAAATTAATAGTATCATCACTTTATTAAAAGCCTATTTAAGGATTAATAAATTTAATGTCTAATTAAAAAGTAAAGTATATGATTCAAATATGCATTATAATTAAATTACAGTATCTGGTACTAACTTTCATTTTATCACGTTATTATTACTATTTCAACAATATTAAAATTCCAAGTTGTTAGTCACTACCAAGTTCTTTTATGTGAATTTGATCCTGATGGATGAATTAAAAAATTAATAATTTTAATATAACAATGAATATTTTATTCCATATTTTAATTACAAACAAACTATTAATTTTATTACACTCTATATTTTAGTTTTAAAATTAATATAATGATTAATAAATATAATATAGTTCATATAAGTTAAACAATAAGGTATTACAATTTAGAATATTGTCCCTATTTATACAAAACGTAGAACATGTGATAACAGATATATTACGTCTGTAATTATTTTGTTTTCATTAGCAAAGTTTGTATTTAGTAACACTATATATGAAACACATTTATTATATATGTTGCTGTCATTTGAATAATAAAGAAACTAATATATTAATATAGTTCTAAAATTAAAAACAATAAAATTCAATGAAATTACTTATTTCGTTATTCTAATACAGTTGCCCTCTCTATAGTGAATTTTTATATACTGTAGAGTATGGAACTTCTTACAAAGAATGATTATCAATAACAAGTGTCCATCATTCATGGGGAGCTGTGAAATTTATAATAAAAAATAGTATTCTGTTTACTTTTGTTTTCAAAATACAGTAGTTGGAACTGTTCTGTCAGTCATTTTATAAATAAAATGGTGGCTATAAGTCATACAAGTTGTGTTAATTTAGCTTTCAATTTTAGATTTGACATGAACTTTGCAACTTAAAGCATTTAAGTTTATACTTTGGTGTATATATTATTATGAAAAATTTTTGGTTTCAAAATGATTACGAGCAATTATAAGCAATTTATACATTTTGGAATTAAAGTTAGAAAGGTGACGTTAACATCTTATTTTCTCAAGTCACGTGATTTAACATAAAAATTTTCGAGAAAGTCAAAGTTCCTGGTAATGTGATATTGGATTATTAGATAGTACTGATAGCAGGGGTCGAGTTTAGTCTTGGGCCTCTCCTGTTGTTTAACATGCGTAAAGTATATAAAATGCAACTATTCCAGGATTAGATTACTAGGATTTTCTTATATAGCTTGTAGCTGCTGTTTTGGTTTTTGATGTTGTTGTATTTAGATAGATGCCTTACTGATATGATGTATTTTTTTACGTCTATGTTGCAGTCATTTGCTTTGGCAATTTTTGCAATACTAATAAAGATTAAATTTTCAAAAAAAAATGTTTTTTCATATTATTTTATGAAAAAAAAAATGTCATGATTTCAGCATCTTTTCATATTACTTTATGAGAAAAGATGCCGTTTTTTTCTATTTTTTTTTATGAAAAAAATGCCTTAAATAGCTTTTTTTCATACTTTCATATTATTTTATGAAAGCAATGCCATTTTGGCATTTCTTTTTCATATAGACTTATGAAAAAAATGCCAATTCAGCGTTTTCATATTATTTTATGAAAAAAATACCATTTCGGCATATTTTTAACATGAAAAAAACTAACTTAGGAAAAATATTTGAACAATTAAATGTATTAGAATCTGTTCATTTCATTATGATTATTCTTCTTTTGATACTCATTTTACTCGATAAATTATTAATTTAACTAAACCATTTGAATTAAAATCTTTATTCAAAAAATCTGGTGATTATTTAAAGAATTTCAGATATGGATTTGGTTATAATAATCTATTATTAAATCAACAATTACTTCAATTAATTAATTATAAAATATTGTAAAAATATCAATTTTTTTTTGATTTTTATGAATTTGAAAATCAAACTATTTATCCAGCGTTCAATTTAATTGAAAAAATCTTTAATCATCTCGTTGATCAATTTTCCTACATGTTATATTGATTTTTTTAAAAAAATAATAATTTTATAATTTTATTTAATATAATATTTTATTTCTTTATTTAATAACGATAATAAAAAAATTGAAAGAAAAAGAAAAAAAATTAAAAAAATTTGGGGGAAAGAAAAAGGATAAAGAAAGAAATCGGTTTAAAAAAAGGGAAAAAAAAAGAATCAAAAAAAAAAATAAGAAAAAATAAAAAAATTTTTTAAAAAAAATAACAATCCGGTCTAAAAAAAAGATCGAAAGAAATAATATAAAAAAAAATCAGTCTTAAAAGACCGAAACAATAGGATTATTAAAAAAAATTAAACCTAAACGGGAAAAGAAAAGAGAAAAAACAAATTTCCGGTTTGAAAAAAAACTAAACCGAAAGAAAAAAAGGAAGAAAAAATTTTTTTCGGTTTGAAAAAAAAAAATGAAAAAAAGGAACCAAAAAAGCCAATTTTTATTATATTATTAAAAATTTCGTATTTTTTTTTTGTTAAATAATAATAAAATTAAAACTGAAAAAAAATTATAATAACAATTGATAGTTGAAATTCCTTCCTTTATAATTTCACACCTGGTTTTAAATATGATCGCAAATCCCGCGAACATAAAAAATTTCACCTTTTTGTGAATCAAAAAAATTCGAACAAGCCTGGTGCGATCAATGGTAAATTCACTAACCTCATTGAACAAATTTGTGACGTAGCCACCTAAATCACGCCATTTGCTGCGCTTCCTTCATAATAAAAAATAGTGTCTTTAAATATGACAGATAAAAATTTGGTTGATATTACATTATCAGATAAAAATAACAAAAATTATTTAATTGTTCATATATTTTATTATTTATAATTTTGAATTAAAAAAAATTTTTAAATAAAATGATTTAAGGAGAGCAAGAAGCACTTCTTTTATAAGTAATACAGTATTATTACTATTATTAATCATATAATTCGTAAGTTTAAGATTCAAAACATAACAAGAAGGATATCTTCAAAGTATCGCTGGAAAATTTTATTTAATCTGAATTAACGACTTGAAAAATAATTTATAATATTAAAAATATAACTTTATTGAAATTAAAGTTATTTCATATAACTGATATTTATTTTATTTTATTTTTTTATAAAGACATCAGATTCATCAAGCTCAACAGGAATTAGCTTAGGAGGAAAGAGAACTAACTCTATTTTGACTAGGAATGCAAACCGATTAACATCACATGTACGTGGCTAAACTGGTGAAAGTTCAGGAAAAAACGTTCGGTATATCTGTAAATATGTCACGTGAATAAGAATATTAATTTTGGTCAGAATTAAGATTCTAATAATCACATAAATTCCAAACACGTGATTATATCAAAGAATTTTTTTTATTATAGGTATACCATGGGGCGAGCTAA